GAGTACGACTTAGGTAACACCTTCTATTAGAAGTGGAAGTACTTGAGGTGGGCAACATTCCAGTTGTTTTGGAGTAATTTTCCCTCCATTGTTTCTAACTGGAATGCTCCTTTTTTTGTTGCAGCTATAATTTTGTATGGTCCGTCCCAGTTCGTTCCCAATTTTCCCTCATTAGGGTCTTTTGATTCTTGTGTTTTGGCCTTGAGGACGCAGTCTCCGACTTTGAGTGGTCGCACCTTGGCTCTCTTGTTGTAGTATCTTTCTACCTGTTGTTTCTGGGCTACCATTCTTATGTGGGCTATATTTCTCCGTTCTTCGACTTCATCCAGATCTTGTAGCCTACTTTCATCGTTGCTTGGTCCACTCTCGTTGGAGTATCTCAAACTAGGTTCTCCGACTTCGACGGGTATAACTGCGTCAGTCCCGTAGGCCAGTGAGTATAGCATTTCTCCTGTGCTAGTTTTTGGCGTTATACTGTATGCCCATAACACTTACGGTAGTAGTTCAGGTCATAGCCCCTTTAGCATCCTCAAGCTTCTTTTTCAATATATTCAGTATTATTTTGTTGTAGGATTCAGCTTGACCATTAGAGGCAGGGTGATATGGCGTGGAGAGTATTCGTTTGATGTGCCATTTTTTCGAAAAACTCAGTCGTTCTTTTTCCGATGAACTGAGGTCCGTTGTCGCAGCTAATTTTTTTGGGGATGCCAAAACGGCATATAATGTTTTTCCATATGAACGTGATGACCTCCTGATCACGTATCTGAGTGTATGCACCCGCTTCCACCCATTTAGAAAAATAGTCAGTTAAAACCAAAAGGAAGTGTACCTTACCTCGTCCTGTTGGGAGGGGGGCGACTATGTCCATTCCCCACTTTATGAATGTCCATGGCGAAGTGACGGCATGAAGGAGTTCCCCTACTTGATGTATAGGGGCGTACTTTTGACATTGCTCGTATCTCTGAACATAATCTGCGGTTTCTTTTTTCATGGTAGGCCAGTAGTAGCCGGTGCGGATGAGGCATCGGATGAGGGTGCGGTTTCTCATATGGGCGTCACAGTGCCCTTCGTGTACTTCTTTCAGTATTCGTCTTGTTTGATGTGGTCCAAGACATTTGGCTAGGGGGCCGCCGAATGTTCTTTTGTAGAGATCACCGTTTACTAGGCTGTATTGGGCTGACTGTACCAGGAGTTTTTTGGCTTTTTTTTTTATCTTGCGGGAGCGTACCTTCCTGTAAATAGGCTGCGAAGCGGTTATGCAAGCCCTAAGTTAAGTTTATGGAATGTACCTCAACGTGGTCTATTGCGGAATGAAGAAGGGTGACCACATTTTCCTTGTTTATATTCTTGGTGGCCGCAGCTAATTTAGCGAGGCCATCTACTTCAATATTTTGCGCCCTAGGTATTTGGTCGAGGCGGCATTCGTCAAATTCTGGCAGCAGTTTGTGGATTTTCGCCTGGTACCTTTGTAGTCTCTGCTTTTTTATTTGGAAAGTCCCGGTGACTTGATTCACCACGAGTTGAGAGTCATAGTGGAGGATGAGTCATCGAGCGCCATATTTGAGGGCTAACTTTAAACCTGCAATCACAGCTTCATACACAACCTCGTTGTTAGTCATCTCGGGGCATCATATGGACTGGCGAATTACTTCGCCTGTAGGGACCTGAGGACGAGTCCCAGTCCCGATCCCGAGGCATTAGAGGCACTATCGGTGAAGAGGACCCTAAGGTCGGTATACGTAGAAGTGCGGAGTGCTTCCTGTTCTACCACGGAAAATATTTTTGTGCCGAAATCGGCGACGAAGTCGGCGAGCACCTGCGACTTAATGGCAGTTCGCGGTTGGTACGTTATGTTGTGCTCACTTAGTTCTATGGACCATTTGGCAATATTGTTCGAGTTTGTGTAGGATACCCCTTAGGGGGAAGGTTGTCACCACTTTTATGGGGTGACATTGAAAGTACGGTCTAAGCTTCCGTGAAGCCACAACTAATGCCAGAGCTAGCGTTTCAAGGTGAGGGTACCTCGTCTCGGCATTGATTAAAGTTTTGCTGATATAGTAAATCGGAGATTACATACCTTTATTTTCACGGACCAAGATTGCGCTTACCGCAACTTCGGAAACTGCTAGTTACACAAGTAGACATTCACCTGTGTCCGCTTTGACGAGTAATGGCGGCGAAGATAGATACGCTTTCAGTTTTCTCAGGGCGTCGATACATTCTTCGTTCCATTGCAGCCCGTGGTCTTTTTTCAGCACATTGAAGAATTTGTGGCATCTATCTGAAGATCGTGAAATGAACCTTAATAGGGCAGCTATTCGCCCTGTTAGCTTCTGCACCTGCTTTTTGCTGGTCAAAATCTCTAGTATTGCGTCGATGGCCCTGATTTGATCTGGGTTGACTTCGATTCCCCTTTGTGACACGAGGAAACCCAGGAATTTTCCTGAAGTTATGCCGAAGGCACACTTTTTGGGATTCAACTTCATCCCGTACTACCTTAATATCTTGAAGGCTTCCTTCAGATGGCCAATGTGATCCTCTTTCTTTGTCGACTTTACCAGCATGTCGTCGATGTAAACCTCCATGGTCTTGCCGAGCTGTTCTTTGAACATTTTGGTGACTAACCTCTGGTACGTGGCCCTTGCATTCTTGAGCCCGAATGGCATCACTTTATAGCAGTACGTTCCTTGGTGAGTGACGAAAGTTGTCTTTTCTTGATCTTCTTCAGCCATTAGAATTTGGTTGTAACTGGAGTATGCATCCAAGAAGCTCACCAGTTCGTGCCCCGCTGTCGCATCGATAAGTTGGTCGATGTGAGGTAATAGAACGGAGTCCTTCGGGCATGCTTTATTCAGATCGGTGAAGTCAACACATATTCGCCTTTTCCCGTTCTTCTTTTTGGCCATGACCACATTGGCGACCCATTGAGGGTATTTCGATTCTATGATGGAACTGTTGGTGAGTATTTTATCCACCTCCTCGCTGACCGCCTCATTGATTGCAGCATGAACTTTCTCCTCATTTGTCGTACCGGTAGATAAAGTGGGTCGATATTCAGTCTATGAGTGGTGATATCCCTTGGGATTTCTGGCATATCCGAATGGGAGAAAGCAAACAAATCGGCGTTGTTAGTTAAAAATCCACGATATTTACCTGGCTCCAAGAGTTTGTTTCCAATATATGCCTTTTTTGTGCTATCGGTGTCGTCTAATTGGACGGGATCAAGATCCTCTGCGGTCGCCTTGCAAGCTTCTACGATATTTGGGTCTTTGATGGCCTCCATTTGTATGTCGGGTTTGGTTCCCCACATGGCTAATTGCTATGCCTCCCCACTTGCCCCTTTTATTTGTTTGGTGTGTGTGTAATCTTGGGCGATCCAGTAGCATTCTTGGGCGGTGCGTGGCTAGCCTCAGATGCTGAATATCCCCCATAGGGTGGGAAATTTGGTTACTTGATAGAAACTGGACGGGACGGCTCGCATGACGTGTATCCATGGTCGCCCTATGATGGTGTTATAGGTCGTTTCCTGGTTCATGACGTGGAATGTCATTTCCAGAGTAACCCCTCCTGCCAGGACGGGTAGCACTATTTCTCCAGATGTTCGCTCTACTACATTATTAAAACCCATTAGTGTTATGCAACGTGGTATTATTTTATCCTCGAGCCTCATTTGCATGAGAACTCGCGGGTGAACAACACACGCACCCTTTCGTCATCCACCATGATTCTTTTCACATCAGTATCAGCAATGTGTAAAGTTATAACCAAAGCATCATAGTGAGGGAAAGACAAACCGTCGGTATCTAACTTATCGAAGATGATACTATCTTCGAGGTTGTCATACCGTTCGTGGGCGACTGTCCGTTTGAGTTTATGCGTGGTGGTGAACTTCACATGGTTGATTACCGTGTTGTCACCGCTACCAATGATCATTTGTATGGTACGGGCTAGTGATGGTGGCTTTGGAGGTCCTTGAGGTGGGTCGCGCCCTCGAGCGAAGTTGGCCCGTCCTTTATCGCTTAGCAGTTCTTTCGGGTACCCCTGGTTTAACATCCTAATTACTTCTTACCGCAGAACTATGCAATCTTCGGTCTTGTGTCCTCTTTCTTGGTGGAATTCATATAGGATGTTTGACCTCCTTGCGCACGGGTCCAACATCATCTTTTGCGGCCACTGCACCTTAGTGTTGAGCTTCTCCAGTGCATACACTATTTCTGAAGGGGAAACACAAAAGTTATGAGCAGATAGTAGTGGAGGCATACCTCTTTCGTTTCGGGAGGGTGCGGTATGTCGAGGCGCGGCATCGGCGTGCCGTGAAGGTGGTGGATTGGATGCTCGGATATAGGGCTGGTGTCTTTTTTGATTGAAGCGTGGTAGTTGCTACCTTCGCCCATCATGACGGCGATCTCTCCTGGTCTCGATCTGGAATGATATCAATCGTTGAAGCGAGTCAGTTCGTCCTCGTCTGCCCTTACTTCGGCGCAATAGGCATTATGGATTTCTTCCCACATGGTAGGAGGGTACTTCATGAGTCTGCTGAGTAGCTTTTTGGTTGCTTTTGACCCATTTCTGTTTAGCCTATTTTGAAAGGCTGCTACTACCATCCTTTTAGACACATTTATTAGGCTCATCCTCACTCTGTTGAATCGGGCTAGGAAATCCCGAAGTCCCTCGCCCGTCGTTTGCCTGAGGGCGAAGATATCATTGACCCTAGCTTTTGCCTTTTTCGCTCCCGTATGCATGGTGGCAAACTTATCTGCCATTTATTCAAATGTGGATATCGATCGTGCTAGTAACTAAGAGTACCATGTCAGCGCTCCTCCTATCAGAGTTTCGCCGAACATTTTTAGCAGCACAAATGGTACTTGTTCCTTTGATAAATCGTTACCCTTTACTACGGTAACGTAGTGGATCAAGTGATCTTCTGGGTCCGTGGTACCATCATATATTTTTAAATATGGCGGCATTTTTCAATATATTTTGAGCTGCCCCTTCGCTATATGGTTGTTCAACAAACCGGCCTACGTCGCATTTTGGTAACAGCTTCGGAGCGCCTGGTATTTTGTCGACCCTTTCCTGATGTTCCTTCATCTGGTCGCGGATTGTTTTGTTCTCATTCTCCATCTGTCCCATTTTTTTAAGATGGCCATAAGGGCATCATCACCTGCATCAGTAACAGTGCGGGTGTTACCTGTTCGTGTAGCACTTGGCTCATCGGCAGCGAACTAAATGCTGATCCAGTTGCACCGCCAACTGATGTTGCAGAAATATTGCAAGAACTTGCATCCATGGAACCTGGATCAGATTCACCACCGCCATTAATGGTGAAATACGTGGAGAAACAAATGAGTTGTGCTGTGGCCTAAATATTTTCAGTACTTGTAAACCCATTGATGGTATATATCTTGATTTGATGCAACAAGCTTTCAAATCGTATGATGAGCAAGGGAACACGTGGGGTCTTGGTCTTTTTATGAACCCTTTTGAAATGGATCAGAATATCAAAAAAGACACGACTAGTATCCAACTACATCATCACCTTTTGCAGTGGCTGGACAAACAAGAACCAAACTCAATGATGCTTGTTTCATTTGGATCTGCAGCTTCATTTACTGATGAGGAAATAAGAGAACTAGCACTTGGCCTTGAACAAAGCCAATAAAAGTTCATTTGGATACTGAAAGAAGCAGACAGAGCAAATATCTTTGCTGAGAATAACAATGGCAGTATAGTACTCGGGCCTTTGCTTTACCAGAAGGGTATGAGGAAAGAGTGGAAGGAAGAGGCCAGAATCGTAGAGCGGGGATGGGCCCCACAACTAGAGGTGTTAGGACACGCGTCAACTGGAGTTTACTTGTGCCATTGTGGTTGGAACTCTGTAATGGAGAGCATTTCAATGGGAGTTCCAATTGCTGCATGGCCATTGCATACAGACCACCGTAGGACCGCTTTGTTATTGATCAAAGGCTTGAAAATAGGAATGTACGTTAGAGACTGGGCGCGTAGAAATGAGTTGGTGAAAGCGGAGACAATTCATAATGCTGTAAAGACTTTGATGGATTCGCCTGAAGGTGAAAAATTGAGGCAAAAGGCGGCGGAGCTGAAGGATGTGGTGAAAGCATAGTTCATGGATGGTGGTGAAACAAAAAAAGACATTGAATCATTTATGTCGTATATCACTAGATAAATTCTTTAAAATTAGAGGGTCTCTGGAATCACATCTTGTAACTGGTTAGGCATGGAATAATAAGATGTAATTGAGGAGTAGCAATTAGACTCTTTAATTCTCAAGGGGATCTCTTTTATTCTTATTTTTCAAATAAATTAGTTTTTGACAATCTGTCTCTTTCATTTCAAATATGAGAAAGAACACTTGTTGAAATCAATTTCATGTTTTGCTAGGTCCTTTTTTCTATTTATACATATATTTATTAGAAAAATACTTTCTAAACACATCATATTCTTTTGTTATTTAAAAAAGCGAAGAAATCATAAATCTAGTTATATTCACATGAGTGTGGAGATACCGATTATTCTTTTTTATATTAGTTATATTAATTTAATGTTATTAAATGTACTTTTGGAACATATGTATTTTAAATACCTAGTACTAATAATAAAAATTAGTATTTCTTATATGCACACATACTTGTCACACTATAAAGTTGATTTACTTATCCATCTAATTAAAATTTTGTTTATTTTATGGTTAACTTTATTTTAACTTAAAAATAAATATCTATTTATATAATTATATTTGTGCAACCAAGCACGATGAAATTATATTGCGATTACTTTAATTATGAAAAATAAACAGGTCTTTTTATTTACTTTATTCTGAAATTACTATGCTATTAATCTTTGTGCTCTGAGATGTGTATTTTGTTTGGAATTAAGATGTATTGTTGTTCTGTCTTCCATGCAAGTTTAGTGCAATAATGTATCGGAAATACTACAAAAGTCACTAGCTAATTAATTAATTTGATGTTTCAAGTTTTATTTGCTTCGCTATGCATGAAGTCATTGTATACATGAACAAGTAGCTATTAAGTTGGGTGAGAGCCAGAGGCAAGCGCCGAGGCATGGGGTGTGAGCAAAAAGAATAGTGTTTGAAATTTTAATAAGTACTCCTTCTGGTCCAAAATAAGTGATTTTTTTACCTTTTTTTTTGTGGTCCAAAATAAGTGATTTTTTCAGATTTCAAGAGTGAATTAATTATTTTTTTCCTGCATTGCCCTTGGAGTAATTAATGTTGGAGTATGTGTTAGGAGTGTTTATGTGAAGAGATAGTGAAGGTTAATATGGTCAATTTCATTGCTAATTAATATTAAAAGGTGAATTTCTTAATATGTGCGAAAACAACCAAAAAATCACTTATTTTGGAACGGAGGGAGTATACTATACATAAGACTAATTAAGATTATTAAATGATGTTGGATTCGACACCCAATGCAGCTTAAATTGAACATTAACAAAATGATCCCATGGGGCAGGAACAATTTTTGAGAAGCAGAAACAGTTTTTGAGAAGCAAAAAAAGTAATTTCTCTCTAAAATTACTTTTCTGAGAAGCATTTTTGAGAAAAATACACCTAGAAGCAGATTTCAAAAGCATGGCCAAACACTAATTACTACTCAAAAGTAGTTTTCAAATTAATTAGTCAAACACAAACTGTTTCTCATAAAAAGCAATTTTTTTTAAAATACTTTTAAAAAAAACACTTCTCAAAATAAGCTGATTTTAGAAGTTTGGCCAAACAGGCTATAAAGCGGGTTAATTGTTCCCTTTGACTTAGACAAGATACCATCCTTCTGATTTTGAAGAAATGCATAGAAATATAACTGCTTCTTAAGCAAATATCTATTGTGAAGAAACGCTCAAAGGGGTGAATTGGACTCTTTGCTATGCAATAGGCCATATTGAAGGTTGTTGCGAGGATTGATGTGATTCTTGCACTTAGAGCTGTTGGATTGGGATTTTACCCACTCGGCTGGGTTATCCGTTATTTTTTCTAATCGGTTTATACATAATTATATATTAATTATACATGGTTATACATATGTTGTGCATAGATTAGACATATATTATATATTCGTTCGTTATTTTTAGTATAAATAATTGGGAAAACATCTTTTTATGTTTGTGTCACGACCCGAATTTCCCACCCTTGGAAGTCGTGATGGCGCATACTCGTGAAAGCTAGGCAAGCCACGTTATATAGAATCCCTAACTCTTTTATTTAGCATTTTTAACAATTTAAACTAACATGTGAATAACAGTGAAATATTAACGATAAATAGATACAAGCGGAAGACTTAATCTGGTAAATTAACCATAAACAGTACCACAACGCCAACATACATAATTACCCGGAATCCGGTGTCACAATATCATGGACTGTCTACGAATTACTACATACAAATGTCTGAAAGAAAAGTACAATCTGTCTCGGAAGCAAATGAAAACAGAATACATATAAAGATAGAAGAGAACGTCGGGCCTGCGGAAGTCTGCAGGACTACCTCTGGATCTCTAGCTGGACTGAAGGCAGCTACCCAATGCTACGGTCCAAAAGCTGCCACTCCGGGATCTGCACATATTACAGAGTGTAGTATCAGCACAATCGACCTCATGTGCTGGTAAGTGTCTGGCCTAACCCCGGCGAAGTAGTGACGAGGCTAGGACCAGACTACCAAATAAACCTATGAAGTTATATAATGTGCATCGGAAAAATAAAACAGGAATAGACAAGTGAAGATGGGAGGGAGTACATGCAGTGGGAAAATATCAGTACCAACAGTAAATTACGAGGAAATCATAAGAACAATTTAGAATTTACAGCAAAACAATAAGGACTCATATCCAATCTATAAACACTTGGTATTATCAATTGTTACGGCGCGCAACCCGTTCCCAAAACATACTAACTCTGTTGCGGCGTGCAACCCGATCCAATTATATTATTGTTGCGGCGTACAACCCGATCCAAATATAATATTGTTGCGGCGTGCAACCCGATCCAAATATAATTTAACACCGATCACAAATGGAGCCCCGACAAGGGAACAACAAAATTCTGGCAAGGGAATCAATAACAACATAATAGAATCAAGTAACGACGGAAAATCAGTAAATAAGCGTAAAGGACAACATAACTCAATTATCAGCAAGATTCAGGAAAATCAAGGACAAGTGCACGGCATCACCCGTCGTGCTTAAAAACTCTCTTACCAAAACAATAATCACAAGAAATAAGGGTAAGAAAATAAATAAAATCACAATAAAATCCCGGCAAGGGAACAACAGTACAACAATCGAATCCCGGCAAGGGAACAATATCAAAATCTCTTCTCTTTTCCTTTTCACATTTATTTCACAACTCACTTCACAACTTGAGCCAATGCTCTATAGGGTTCAATTGCCAATTATACTTCCACAATTCAATTTACAACTTGAGCCAACGCTCTTCAATATTCAAATTCCAATATTACTTCCACGAGCCTTGCTCAACAATAGAAATCCTCACAAAAGGGCATGAACAATACAAACGAAGTCAGATTAATCATAGTATAAGACTCACGGGCATGCTTGACATCAACGTATAGATACTCGTCACCATGCCTATACGTCGTACTCTACAAATAACATGTAGCACATAGGACACAACTCATAATCCCTCAAGCTAGGGTTAGACCAAACACTTACCTCAATGCCACGAACACAATTCAAGTCTCTACTATCGCTTTACCTCTTGATTCCACCACCAATTCGCTCGTATCTAGCAACAAGTTACTTAATAACATCAATAAACGCTAACTGAATCGATTCTAATGCATGAAAATGAGTTTTCTAAATTTTTACCCAAAAAGTCAAAATCGCCTCGGTCCCACATGGTCAAAACCCGAGGTTCGAACCAAAACCCGATTACCCATTCCCCCACAAACCCAAATATATAATTTGTTTTGAAATCAGACCTCAAATCGAGGTCCAAATCCCCAGTTTTTGAAAAACCTAGGTTCTACCCAAAACACCCAATTTTCCCCATGAAAATCATTGATTTTGAGTTGAAATCATGTGAAAAAATGTTAATGATTGAAGAAAACGAGTTAAAATTGACTTACAATTGATTTGGAAGAAGAGTTGTCTTTGAAAAATCGCCCAAGTGTGTTTTGGCTTTGAAAGAGTGTGAAAAATGGGAGCTTTTTGGCTAAGTATAAAAATTGCAGATTGCAGATATGGGAATTGCGACCAGGGTTTGCAATTACGAACCCTTCAGAAAATTGGACTTTCGCATTTGCGAAACATATGTCGCATTTGCGATACACTCAGCATTTCAGCCATCATCGCATTTGCGAGAGGCTGTTCGCAAATGCAAAATCGCATTTGCGACTCAGGCTTCTAGGTCCACTCTCTGCATTTGCGAAGGTTTGTCGCATTTGCGAAGCCTGCAGACCTGATCACACCAGCTGAGAATCTGCAATTTTTCAAGTATAAAATCCACCTCGTGGCCTATCCAAAACTCACCCGAGCCCTCGGGTCTCCCAACCAAACATGCACACCAACCTAAAAACAACATACGGACTCGCTCGTGCATTCAAATCACTAAAATAACATCAACAACTATGAATTTAGTATCAACATCATGAATTTTTCTTAAGAACTTAAAATTTCTATTTTTCTCAGAAACGATCTGATTCACGTCGTTTCAGGTCTGTTTCTTACCAAATTTCACATACTTATCTTAAATCACATATAAGACCTATACCGGGCGCCTAAACCAAAATACGGGCCCGATACCATCAAGTTCTAATCACAATTCATTTCCAAATCTCATAAATAATTTCAGAAAATAATTTTCTTCAAAAATTCATTTCTCGCGCTTGGGACCTCGGAATTCGATTCCGGGCATACGCCCAAGTCCCATATTTTTCTACGGACCCTTCGGAACTGTTAAATCATGGGTCCGGGTCCATTTACCCAAAATATTGACCTAAGTCAACTTAATTCATTTTATAATCAAATTTATCATTTTTTACAGATTTTCACAAAGTGTCTTCCCGGCTATGCGTCTGGACTGCGCACGCAAATCGAGATAATGCCGAAAGAGGTTTTTGAGGTCTCGGA